AAGTAAATAAATACATCTTTAAAAAAAAAAAAAGAAGAGGCAGATCTACTGAAATACACTGCTGATGGGATCAGTGGGCGAGACAGCAGAGGTCTGCTCTGCTATGTGGGTTAGCTCCCTGGCTGGGATCTAACTCATGCCACCATGGCTGGCATAGCTGGATAACGCAGAGACTGACCACTGAGCCACCAGGCAGGCCCTCTATGACTTATTTGATAAGTTTTTAATTTGAAATTTTAAAACCGTCATACTTGTAAAGTGTATATTAGATTAGAAAAAATTTGAACATTTTCACTGACTTGGTGAACTTACAACTTTGTATTTTCTTTTTCTAATTATTTTTTACATCATTGTTCATTTTAAACAATATTTGCCGCACCCCCCCACCACCCACAGGTGTAGTCCCCATAGAATTTCCTTCCCCAAGGCACCCATGCACCATTACCATAGTCCTCTGTGCTCTTTCCTCCCTCCCTGTGACCCCTCTCCCTCCTCCTCCCCTGCAGGATGTCTCTGGTTTATAATTGTCTGTTTTTGTTTTGTTGTGTTTTGTATTGTTACTGTTTTTTTTTTTTTTTGTTTTGTTTTTTGTTTTTGTTTTTTTTACACTGATATCTTATTTGGTTTCCCTATATTCTTTTGATAAGTAAAACCAATCCGGTATTTTTCTTTTTCCTTCTGGCTTATTTCACTGAGCATAATCCCTTCTAGCTCCATCCACATTGCTGCGAATGGCATGAGTTTATCTTTTTTGATTGCTGAGTAATATTCCATTTTGTATATATATCACATCTTCATCCAGTCATCTATTTTTGGACATTTGGGTTGTTTCCAGGTTTTACCTACTGTAAATAGAGCTGCAGTAAACATAGGGGTACAGGTGTTCTTTTGAATCAATGTTTTTGTGTCTTTTGGGTAGCTCCCTAGGAGTGGAATTGCTGGTTCATATGGTTGCTCCATTTTTAGTAGATGAGGAACCTCCAGACAGCTTCCCAAAGTGGATGGACCAGTTTGCACTCCCACCAGCAATTGTAGGAGAGTTCCTTTTTCACCATATCCTCGCCAACATTTGTTGTTACTAGTTTTTTTGTTATGTGCCATTCTTCCTGGTGTAAGGTGGTGTCTCAATGTGGTTTTGATTTGCATTTCCCTAATTATAAGTGATGTTGAACATTTTTTCATATACCTGTTGGCCATTTACATTTCCTCTTTGGAGAAATGTTTTTTAAGTTCTGCCTGGATTTCTTGACTGGATTGTTTACTTTGCTTTTGCTGAGTCATGTGAGTTCTTTGTATATTTTTGTGATCAGTCCCTTATCAGTTGTATGGGGGCAAAATTTTTTTCCCAATCAGTGGGGTGTGTCTCTGTTTTGGTTAAAGTCTCTTTTGCTGTACAGAAGCTTTTCAGTTTGATGTAATCCCAGGTGTTTATCTTTTCCTTGACTTTCTTTGCCGTTGTTATGAGCAGTGTTACTGAGATATATGTCTACAACTTTATTTTCAACTAAATTTCAGTGTAACTGACAATTTAGGTGCAAACCTACATAATATGATCTCATTTTCATTTTGAAGAGTAACATGTGATTATATGAATGCGGAAAAGGAATCTGACTCATATACATCAAACTATTAACTGCAGTCATCTTATTTAAATTAGTGTGCTTAGAGGAAATAATAGGTACTGAGAAGTTTGTATTCCTTTTAAAGAATCTCTGTGAATCTGGACTTAACGTCAAAGGATGACAAAACTTTTTTTTTTCCCCCTACTTACTATTAGGGAAAAAAGACTATTACTACAAAGACTTTTTAACATTTGTTATACTACATTATAATGAGTTTTTTTTTTTTTTTTTTTTACTCCAAGTCACACTCTGGACATTTTGAAAGTACTGCCTCTTTGTAAAGTGCTTTGTGATCAGCAGATAAAAGACCTTATCTTACTGCAAATCTTCATTGTAAATTGTCCTCCTTAGACAGGAGTAGTGTTAAGCTGTTTTTGTCAGTTACTACTGAAAATTTCTCTGTGAGAATATATTGATTTAAAAGGATAAAAAAATCTACTTTTTTGATAAATTCATTAAGATGTATTCATACACTACTCATTACTCAAAGTTCAGTGGTTTTTTGGTAATATTAGCAGATATGTGTGGTGTTTATTACATTAAATTTTAAAACATTTCATTACCTCAGAAAGAAACCCTGTATCTTTCATCACCCTATATCTCACTCCTACTTGACCTGCACACACTTCCCCACCAAGCAACCCACTAATCTACTTTCTGTCTTCATAGCTTTTCCTATCCTGAACTTTAATATAAGTGGAATAATAGAGTATTCTTTCTTAGCATATTTTCAAGATTAATCATTGTTGTAGCATGTATCAGTATTTCATTCCTTTCATGACTGAATAATATTCCAGTATACCACATTTTGCCTATATGTGCTTAAGAAAATGGGGATATTTGGGTTGTTTCCGCCTTTTGGCTATAATGAATTTTGCTGCTATAAACATTCGTGTGCTAATATATTTGTGGACATGTATATTTACTTAAGTGTTGATTAAGGAATAAGTCACCTAAAAGTATGCTCATCAATGATGAGTAAATACCTATTCTTAAAAATTTACCTATTTAACTATAGGTTTCTTTCCTGGGGGGACAATAATGTTCTAAAATTGGTTGTGGTGATGTGGTTTGTACAACTCTGAAAAATACCTAAAAATTATTGCACTGTATACTTTAAATGAGCAAATTGTATGGTGTGTGAATTATATTTAAATTAAACTGCTATAAAAAATTAAAAATTTGAGCAGAAAAGGGAAAATCTACTTACTGATAATCAAGAGTTTATATCAATAATTATATATCTTGGGAGAGAATTGCATTTTAAAACTGCTTGTCATAATGGCTTAATTGTTTTCTTTTTTTTTTTAAGGTTTATTTATGCATACAAGAGCTGGGGTGTAGGGCAGGGGTGGGTATGTGTGTAAGAGGATTCACCAGAGACAGAGTCGGGAACAGAACAGGTGGATCTGCTGAAACACACTGCTGAGGGAAGCAGTGGGTGAGACAGGAGAGGTCTGCTGCGCCATGTGGATTAGCTCCCTAGCAAGAAATGAAGCTCATGCTGCAGTGGCTGCTGTTAGACTTAACCCCTTGTGCCACCAGGGAGGCCCTTAATTCTATTCTATAAGAAAGACATGGCATTTATTTTTTATTAGGAAGTTAATCTGTGTTCATATTCCATCCCTAGAAATAATTTGCTCTTAATAGTTTGCTGTATATGCCATTAGATTCCTTTTTTAAAACAATTTATTTATTTACACAAGCACTGGGGTACAGGCCAGAGGCGTGGGAGGTTGAGAGAATTCACCAGAGACAGAGCAGGGAGCAGAACAGGCAGAAGGACCAACATACACTGCTGAGGAGAGCAGTGGAGAGACAGGAGAGGTCTGCCTCGTCATGTGGATATCTCCCTGGCCAGCAGGGATGGAACCGGCACTGCAGAGGCTGCGGACAGCCTCACAGAGCTATGCTTAACCCGCTGTGCCACCAGGGAGGCCCATTTGGTGTTCCTTTTTTATACATATGCAACATTTTTTTTTTTCCCAATGATAATTAAATATTCTGTTGACTGTTTCGCTCCTTGCCTTTTTTAAAAAAGCAACATTTTGGAAGCATATTTTTAATAACTTTACTGAGTAGAGCAGTCATCACTATAAATCAATTTTAGAACATTTTCGACATCCCAATAATTGGATCCTTCATGCTCATATACATTGAATGCTCTTTTTCCGCTGTAGCTCAAGACAGTGACATTCTTTCTGTAAAGATTTATTTGCCTATTCTGGACATTTTACATGAATATAATTGTATAATACATTGTCTCACCTCTTTCACTTAGTAAAATGTTTGAGGTTCATTCATAAAGTAGCACGTGTCAGTGTTTGTTCTTTTTAGTGCCGAGATGTATCCTGTTGTATGGATATACCTCATTTTGTCTGTCCTTTCACCACATTGATGGGCATTTAGGTTGCTCCTTTCCTTTGGTTATATTTGACTATATTAAATAATTGTATCTTGTTTTTTTTCCCCACTAATGGTACATCTGCGCAGATTTTTAAAAATAAGATTTAAAATCCTATTGCAATTATTATTATTATTATTATTTTTTGCTGTGGTGTTTTAAAAAAACACTTTCATGTATTTCATTGTAGGCTATATTTTCATTTATTTAACCCGTAATGTTAATGGCTGTTTTAGAGCTATTTGTTATTTTTCACTGTAATAAGAGTACCGCAGTGAATATTCTTCCACATTTACCTTAGTATTTGTGTTTTTTTGTGAAATAGATTTCTAAAATTCAAATGGCTAGATCAAAGGGCATGACATCCAGTTTCAGTAAAGTATTGAAAACCAGAGATATTTTGGATAATAGTTCTATTTGATAATAGATATTTAATGTCAGAATACTTGTACATCCAGGCATTTGTAGTTAGCCAAGGAAAAACAAGTTCTGTAATAAATTATAAACTTTATCAAAACATACATATTTCTTTGATATAGTTTAAAGTTTTACAGTGAGCAATGGTAGTTAAATTACTGGAAAAAGTTCACCTGAGCATTAGAATTGCATATTAGTTAATGTAAGGTTAGGTTCTTCTTCTTTTTTTAAAAAGATTTTATTTATTTATGCATACAAAAACTGGGGTACAGGCTAGGGGTGTGGGGGATAAGAGGATTCACCAGAGACAGAGTAGGGAACAGAACAGGCAGATTGACTGAAGTACACTTCTGAGGGGAACAGCAGGTAAGTCAGGCGAGGTCTGTTGTGCCATGCAGGTAGCTCCCTGGCTGGGGATCGAACTTGTGCTGCAGAGACTGCGTATTGCTTCATAGGTTGTGTCTTAACCCCTTGTGCCACTAGGGAGGCCCTGGTTAGGTTATTCTTAAATATTTTTTTTGTTGTGTTGTTAAAGTAAATATCTTTTTAAATTTTAGGGGGAGAAGAATAGTGGTTTTGATGTCCTTTACCATAATATGAAACATGGACAGATATCGACAAAGGAACTGGCAGATTTTGTAAGAGAAAGGTATGTATGTTGTAACATCTTTAAAATTTACCCTGTTCAATTTTAGAGTATAAATAATTGGGAAAATTTTAGTTGGATTAGAGGAATGAAGTACACTTTTTAAAAGTATAATATAATTATACTTTATTAATTTTTTGTAAAAGATTTTTTTTAGATTTATTTATTTATGCATACAAGAGCTGGGGTACAGGCCAGAGGTGTGGGGGGGCGGTGAGAGAATTGACCAGAGACAGAGTGGGGCACAGAACAGGTAGATTGACCAAAGTCCACTGCTGAGGGGAGTAGCAGGCGAGACAGGAGAGGTCTGCTGCATCATGTGGGTATTTCCCTGGCGGGCCGGGGATCGAACTCGTGCTGCAGAGTCTACGAATTGCTTCACAGTGCAGTGCTTAACCCCTTGCGCCACCAGGGAGGCCCTAAAAAGGTTTATTTATTTATTTATGCATAGAGGAACTGGGGTGTAGGCCGGAGGTACAGGGGGTGAGAGGATTCACCAGAGACAGAGTGTAGAGCAGAACAGGTGGATCTACTGAAATAAATGCTAAGGGGAGCAGTGAGGTGAGGTCTGCTGCATCTCATGTGGGCCAGGGGGCTCCCTGGCCGGTGATTGAACTCACAGCACAGTGGTGATAGCGCTGAGACTTAACCCATAGGCCACCACGAAGGCCCCTATAATTATATTTTAAGTAGTGATTATCTGTCATTTATACCCTGAGGTCTAAATAGAGACTTCAGGTGGCATTTTTAAGCTCCTGGTTTGCATTATCACTGTAACTATTGCTTACACATTGAATATGCTAGCAAGGTGAAACAACAGAAAAATTGAGGTATTTTGTAGGATAAAATTGCTTTAAACAAACATAGTAAACATTAAACATATTAAGGCATGCTAAAAATAATTTGAAAAGACTAAGTTTTTTTAACTTTTCATTTAATTATACATTATTTTAACTTTCATATTTTAAAAGTTCCACATATATATTTTTAAATTCTGCAAATTTACAAAATGTGATTGTTTTTAGGACTCTTAAAATATAAGTCACTTTTAAAGTATCAATATAATTTGAATTGATTAAAGCTATTCTGTGACTTTTCCTTGGTGATTTTTCCATGATCACATGTAAAATCTTTATCTTGATAACATAGGGATACTTTGCTTTTAGTTGTAGGGCTCCCGTTGTTTGTTTTTTCAATAATATATATCTCAAGTCGGCCATGTCCCAGGCACTTGTCTGCATTCTGAGACTATAGTGTTAAAATATAGCTTCTGACTTCATAGAGCATACAGATTGGTCGGAATTGGGAAACAAACTATTCTATGTGAAGCCAATTCTCTTCTGGCTTCCATCGCTCTACTGAAGTACAGAAGGAGCCCCAAAGTCCTAAACGCTGTATATAAAGCTGTCCCATACAGGCTTTTACGTCATCATTGTCAGGAATAAAGGTAAAGCTTTAGCACCCTTCCTCTTCCACAATGTTCCCTAGATTGCTTCTCTCTGCTATCACTATCTGTCTTTAGACTCTGGGGGCAGCTGCCATGATATCTTAGCCCTGTGTATGTCAGTCACCGTAAGAAGTCCAGGAAACCTGGGCTGTCCCTTCTTTGCCCACAGTCTCAAGCTCTTTATGATTCTGTGGACAGAGAGACAACCCCCTCTTTCCACTTCCCCTTCTTACTTTTTCTTTATAGCACGAACAACCATGTGATAGAAGTGATGCTTTACTTGTCTTTGCCTCTCCCCAATAGACTATAAACCCCACAAGAATTTTCTTTTTTCCTTTTGTGTATTGTTCTTTCTCATGCAGTAAGGGATAAGCACTTGGAATAACCCGTAGCCCTCAGTAAAGATTTTTTGATATAATGAATCTCCAGATTTCACTATCCTGAACTGCACTTGTACCTCCTAACTAGTCTACATTCCTCCTTGTTCTCTAGCTGCTTATTCTCTGCACTGAAATTGGAGTGCTTTTTTTAAACTGCAGGATCGGTTTTGTTACCTCTCCTATTTAAACCATTGCAAAGGCATCTTACTGCCCTTAAGATAGGTCAGGGTCTGGCTCACACCATATTCTTCCTTAATTTTTCCTCCCCAGAGATATTGGTCATTTTATGGACAGGTTTCTTCCAGTCCAGGCTTTGTATGCGATTCTTCCTGTTTTTCACTTAGTTAATACCTATTTTTCCTTTAGAGCTTTATATCACTCCTCCAAGGATGCTTTTCTTGATCTCTGACTAGGTTTCAAGCATTTATTATAATCTCCTTCATCATCATTAATTTCTTTGTGAAATTTTGTAATTGTTTATTTTTGTTATTTGTTTTTGTATTTCCTTATAAGGGGAACTGAATATAATATTCACTTGTATCCTAGTGCCTAGCAAAATCAGTCATATTTCTTGAAGGAGTGAATGAGAAAGGACACATAAACGTATATTGTGCATGAGGACTTATGGATGTTATCTCATTTAACTATCAGAACTCTTAAGTCTTATTTTATGAATAAGAAAATTAGGGCCCAGAAAGGTTAAATAACTTTGTGAGTCATTCAGACTTTCGTACTCTCCTCTCTTTCCCACTTTTCTGTTCCCTTCATCCCACCTCCCTTCCTGTCTCTCTTGCTTTCCTCCTCTCCCTTCTTCCCTTGCTTCCTTTCTCCTGCCTCTCCTCCTTCCAGCAGTTTGATTGAGGTATAGTGGACATGCAAAATACTGTACATATCTAAAGTGCAATTTGATACATTTGGACATGTAGAGTTATGAAACCATCTCCACAATCCATCATCTCTCCCTTCTCTTCATCCTTTTAAGTGACTATTCACTTGCTTTTGGCAATTAGTGTAGTTCGCATTTTCTAGAATTTATAAATGGAATTAAACAGCATGTACTATGTTGTCTAGTATAATCATTTTGAATTAATCCATATTGTCACATGTATCAATTTTTTACTATTTAGTAGTATTAGATTTATGGATATACCACTTTTCCCATTCATCTTCAAAGGAAATTTTACCTTTTTTGAACTTTGTTAATTTAATTTAATAGGTATTTTGGTTCTTGTTACACAACACTGTGAGATTCATTTGTATTGAGTTTACTATAATGCATTTGCAGTGCTAATGCAAAACACGTTCATTTACTACTATTGATGGAAATTTGAGTTCTTTCCAGTTTTTTGCTAGTACAAGTAATATTGTTTTGAATATTCTTGCATATGTGCCTTATTGCATGTATATGTTGTATATGTGTATGTATATGTATATGTTCAAGCCTAATAGATAATGCCAAAGAATTTTCCAAGGTAATTGTACCATTTTGCACCATTGGGAGCTTTGCTTGAGAGTTTCAGTTACTTCATGTCCTTGTCAACACTTGGTATTATTTTTTTATTTTGAGGCATTCTGATAGTAAAGTCATATGTCACTTGATATGTCTGTCAGTGATGGATTTTGGTTCCAATAATTTATAACATGTAGCCTAGATGTATGAGAGGCTGTACTATTTAGGTAGGTTTATATAATTATACTCTGACATTTGCCCAATGACACTGTCACCTAATGACACTTTTTGCAGAATGTATCCCTTTCATCAAGGTACACATGCTGTGGTAGTATTTTATTGTGATTATAATTTTCATTTCCTGATAATAAGTTTGAGCATCTTTTCATATGTTGATCATTTTCATTTTTTCTTGTGAAGTACATATTCATTTTTTTGCCTGGTTTTCTTTTTACCCTTATTTTAAACATAAATTGAATATAAGTTTCCATTGATGGATGAATGGGTAAACGTGGTACATATACATAATGGAATATTATTCTTACCATTTGTGACAACATGGATGGACCTGAGGGCATTATGTTAAGTGAAATAAGTTAGATAGAGAAAGACAAATACTATATGATCTCACTTATGTGAAGGAAAAAAAAAACACAACCAAGATTTCCTTTTGTCTAGAACTGCCATCTTCTGTTACCACCAGAATGACCAACACAAAAAAGTAGAAGCGGCTGCTCTCTATTCTCTAGACCTTGAAAAACATGGAGTCATTCCTTTTGCCACCTATGCTGTGTACATCCTAATTTATAAGGATGGTGATATTGTAGACATCAAGGGGATGGGCACTGTTTAAATGTTACCACGGATGGTATCATGGCAGAACTGGGACTTTAAATGTTACCCTTGGCATTATTATTCCAAGTAAAGGGCAAGAATCTTGTCAAGAGAATGTTCATATTGAGAATATTTAAGCATTCTAAGAGCTGTGTCCTGAAAATGGGTAAAGGAAAATGATCAGGAAAAAACAAAGAGAAAGGTATTTGGGTTCAACTGAAGTGCCAGCCTATTCCATCCAGAGAAGCACTGGAACCATTGGAAAGGAACCTGGGCTGCTGGAACCCATATAGCATGGGCCCTATGAAATAGGGCATGATAGGTGTTAAAAAAAATAACTCTGGTTATTTAAAAAAAGTGAAAAAAAGAAAAGCTGTTATACATTCATATTCTCTCTGTCTCTGTGTAACACACACACACACACACACACACACACACACAAACACACACAGTTGATTTCCCCTAATCAGGATCCCAGCAAGATGTATACGTTATGTTGGGTTAATATGATTTTTGATTTTTTTTTAAAGATTTATTTATTTATGCATACAAGAACTGGGGTACAGGCCAGAGGTGTGGGGGGGCGGGGTGAGAGGATTCACCAGAGACAGAGTAGGGAACAGAACAGGAGGATTGACTGAAATACATTGCTGAGGGGAGCAGTGGGCAAGTCAGGAGAGGTCTGCTGTGCCATGTGGGCAGCTCCCTGGCCAGGGCTTGAACTCCTGCTGCAGTGGCTGCGGACAGCTTCATAGGTTGCATCTTAAGCCCTCGCCACCAGGGAGAACTGATTTTTGAGTTTCTTAACCTATAAATCACACCCTCTTTAACTTTTGTTTTTGTTGGAAAAACCTGATTATTTGTTGTATAGAGCATTCCAGTTTGTGGAATA